AAATTACTGCTCCTGTACTCAAGGACATATACAAGAATGTTCATAATAGCATTGTTTGAAATGGCAGGGAGGGAAAAAAGGAAACAATCTAAATGTCCATGAATAGGAAATTTTTTTAACCTTGAATCCTCTGAGGATGTTTTTTTTTTTTTTTTGTCTGTGTTGGGTCTTCGTAGCTGCACATGGGCTTCTCACTGCAGTGGCTTCTCTTGTTACAGAGCATGGGCTTTAAGCGCACAGGCTTCAGTGGTTATGGCACGTGGGCTCAGTAGTTGTGGCTCGTGAGCTCTAGAACACAGGCTCCGTAGTTGTGGCGCACAGGCTTAGTTGCTCCGTGGCATGTGGGATCTTCCCGGACCAGGGCTTGAACCGGTATCCCCTGCATTGGCAGGCGGATTCTCAACCACTACGCCACTAGGGAGGGAAGCCCCTGAGGATGAATCTGAATCCAATTCATTCATAATACATTGCACAAATCACGGTTTCAAGGTCAGGACTTTTTTTTTTTCTGATAGATTTCAATGTTTATAATTTAATATTTCCTTCTTGTACCCCTTTCACACATATGAATAAGCCTAAACATTCCAAATAGGGAAAACATGCACTATTGGCTTATTAACTGGAGAAAGCTGTGTAGCTCTCTGTCTTCCACAATGGCTCACAGGGTTGAAATGCCTTGTTGAGTTTACCATGGTTCAGGTACTAGCCCTGAGATGTGCAAGTCAGAACTTGAGTTGTCACTTCACTAAAGGTGAATCTATGTCCTTAGGAAGACTCACATCAACCAAGAGACTGATACATGAAATAAGAATATCAATTTCTTAATTCATAATTAGATGTGAGACTGCTTGGGGGGCATGAGAAACCCAGTCGTAATCAGAAAATTTACTGATAAGCAAGGAATCAGTTGCATTCAGCTAAGACACATTCACTAGAATGTAAGCGCCATGAGGACATTTTTGTCTGATTTTTCCACTGCTAAAATTCCAGCATCTATAACAACACCTGATTCAATAAAAATCTATTAAGTGAATGAATAAGGAGAAACTTAAGTATCCATCTCCACAATATGCAAAGACTGATCTCAAGATTCAGCTACTGGAGTTCTTGCATCAGGGTATTCTGGTTCCACTACAGTGCCAGAGCAGGAGGCGCCAATTTTGGCATCTGAGATTCTTTTCCTATGCTTCCAGGACTGATCCTAGTAGATACATTTAGTTGCCCAGACTACAGCTATTCCCTTCTAATACCTTGCTAACAGCATCCCAATTTTGTTCAGGGCAGCAACGTGCTCCACCTCAAAGAACGAATCACAATTCATCTTGGCCAAACATAGCATCTCTGTTCCCCTGTGCCAAATGCTCACTGTCCCAGCCTCCCTTGCAGCCATGGGTAGCCGTATTACCCAGTACTGTCTGATAAGACATAAAGGGAAGACTTCTGGAGTATTCTAATAAAGATGTTGCTTTCCAGATAAAAAGACAGAGCCTCAGCCAGAGAAAGATTTTAGCTCCTGACCTTTCCTCCCTGTTTAGGATGCAGATGTGAGGAAATGATGCTTGGAGCTACTGCAGCCCTTTTATGTTCAAGCGATGAGTTGAGAATAATTGGCAGAGTGGAAGAGTTTTAAAAGCCCAGTTCCTCTGTAACATGGTTAATTGCTGAACTAGCCCGGAAACTGGCTACCTCCAGTCTTCTAATTGAGTTTTTTAAGTTTTCATGGCTTAAGCTACTGTAAGTAGGTTATTCTGTTAGCTGTAGTCAAAAGCATTCCTAACTGATACAATGATTAAGGTTGTTATAAGATATACCTTTTCTCTTTAGGTATGTTAATACAGTCAGTCAGTTTATAGTCAAATATTAACTGGCCTAGGATACAATTTGAATATCTCTGCTCAATTTTAAATTTCACTTTCAGAGGCTATCCTAATCTCACTTGATTTCTAATGCCACTACCCAATGTGACAGCACTGAGCACCTCAGGTCTCCTTTTCCCAACACTCCTTTGCCTGATCTGTTCCTTCTTTCAAATGTATCCAAGTTGTGCCAGGTTGCTGGCACTTCTGAACCAAAATAATCTCTTTTATCATGATAAACAGAAACTGATTTCAGTGCTGAATGAATCAGAATATAGTTGATGTTATCAACAAAAGCTACTGAATTCCATTTGTGGGAATCTGGATATCATGCTTACTTATTCTTTATTTCATTCCTTTTTTTTTTTTTTTTTTTTTTTGCGGTACACGGGCCTCTCACTGCTGTGGCCTCTCCTGTTACGGAGCACAGGCTCCAGACGCACAGGCTCAGTGGCCATGGCTCACGGGCCCAGCCACTCTGCGGCATGCAGGATCCTCCCAGACCGGGGCACAAACCCGTGTCCCCTGCATTGGCAGGCAGACTCTCAACCACTGCGCCACCAGGGAAGCCCTCATTCCATTTTTGAGAGGTAAATATAAAATGTTTTAGGTGTTTCCTTTGGTGATTTCTTTTTTTTTTTCATTTCTTAGTTAAGTGGTTTATTAATATTCTTTCCCATTTTCATTTTCACTCTCCTTCAACTTAACAAATATACTCCTTGTCCTTAAAAGCAAGCGAAGACCTATCGTTCATATTTTTAAAGGATTCCAAATTTAAGTTACCTTTAGGAGAAAAAAACAGTCCTTAGTGTTCAAATATACAATTTGAATAAATTGCTTTATTTCCCCTCCCTACTCCTTTTGTGATTTCTTACCTGATAGGTATAAGATATCAGAAACAACAGCAGTCCCACACTTCCTGTTTGTCCCATCTGTTCTTTATTCCTTTTTTCCTCTTTTTCTGTCTTCCCTTGGATTATTTTTTATGAACTCATTTTATCTCCTCTATTGAATTATTAGTTATACCTTTTTAAGAAATTTAGTCGTTGCTCTGAGCTTTACAATATACAACTTTAACTTATCACAGTTTACTTTAAAGGTTATAGCATTTAACATATAATGTAAGAATCATATAACAATATACGTCCATCCCATCTCCCCCATTCTTTGTGCTCTTGTGCTCATACATTCTACTTCTACAAATGTTATAACTCCCATAATATACTGTTGTTACTCTTACTTTAAGTAGTTAAGTATCTTTTAAAGACATTAAAAGATGATACAAATAGATGGAGAGATATACCATGTTCTTGGATTGGAAGAATCAACATTGTGAAAATGACTCTACTACACAAAGCAATCTACAGATTCAATGCAATCCCTATCAAACTACCACTGGCATTTTTCACAGAACTAGAACAAAAAATTTCACAATCTGTATGGAAACACAAAAGACCCCGAATAGCCAAAGTAATCTTGAGAACGAAAAACAGAGCTGGAGGAATCAGGCTCCCTGACTTCAGACTATACTACAAAGCTACAGTAATCAAGACAGTATGGTACTGGCACAAAAACAGAAAAATAGATCAATGGAACAGGATAGAAAGCCCAGAGATAAACCCACGCACATATGGTCACCTTATCTTTGATAAAGGAGGCAAGATTATACAGTGGAGAAAAGACAGCCTCTTCAATAAGTGGTGCTGGGAAAACTGGACAGCTACATGTAAAAGTATGAGATTAGATCACTCCCTAACACCATACACAAAAATAAGCTCAAAATGGATTAAAGACTTAAATGTAAGGCCAGACACTATCAAACTCTTAGAGGAAAACATAGGCAGAACACTCTATGACATACATCACAGCAAGATCCTTTCTGACCCACCTCCTAGAGAGATGGAAATAAAAACAAAAATAAACAAATGGGACCTAATGAAACTTAAAAGTTTTGCACAGCAAAGGAAACTATAAACAAGACCAAAAGACAACCCTCAGAATGGGAGAAAATATTTGCAAATGAAGCAACTGACAAAGGATTAATCTCCAAAATTTACAAGCAGCTCATGCAGCTCAATATCAAAAACACAAACAACCCAATCCAAAAATGGGCAGAAGACCTAAACAGACACTTCTCCAAAGAAGATATACAGATTGACAACAAACACATGAAAGAATGCTCAACATCATTAATCATTAGAGAAATGCAAATCAAAACTACAATGAGGTATCATATCACACCTGGCAGAATGGCCATCATCAAAATATCTACAAACAATAAATGCTGGAGAGGGTGTGGAGAAAAGGGAACCCTCTTGCACTGTTGGTGGGAATGTAAATTGATACAGCCACTATGGAAAACAGTATGGAGGTTCCTTAAAAAACTAAAAATAGAACTACCATACAACCCAGCAATCCCACTACCGGGCATATACCCTGAGAAAACCATAATTCAAAAAGAGTCATGTACAAAATGTTCATTGCAGCTCTATTTACAATAGCCAGGACATGGAAGCAACCTAATTGTCCATCGACAGATGAATGGATAAAGAAGATGTGGCACATATATACAATGGAATATTAACTCAGCCATAAAAAGAAACGAAATTGAGTTATTTGTAGTGAGGTGGATGGACCTAGAGTCTGTCATACAGAGTGAAGTAAGTCAGAAAGCGAAAAACAAATACCGTACCCTAAGACATATATACGGAATCTAAAACAAAAAGGTCCTGAAGAACCTAGGGGCAAGGCAGGAACAAAGACACAGACCTACTAGAGAATGGACTTGAGGATATGGGGAGGAAGGGTAAGCTGTGACAAAATGAGAGAGTGGCATGGACATATATACACTACCAAACGTAAAATAGCTAGCTAGTGAGAAGCAGCCGCATAGCACAGGGAAATCAGCTCGGTGGTTTGTGACCACCTAGAGGGGTGGGATAGGGAGGGTAGGAGGGAGGGAGACACAAGAGGGAAGAGATATGGGAACATATGTATATGTATAACTGATTCACTTTGTTATAAAGCAGAAACTAACACACCATTGTAAAGCAACTATACTCCAATAAAGATGTTTAAAAAATAAAAATAAAATAAAGACATTAAGAACAAGAAAAATGTCTTTTATATGACGCACACATTTACCATTTCTGGTACTCTTCATTCCTTTGCATAGATTCTTGTGTCCATCTGGTATCATTTTCCTTTAACCTGAAGAACTTCTTTTAGCATTCTTTGTGGTACAAGTTCACTAGTGATGAATGCGCTTGGCTTTAGCTTATCTGAAATGTCTTCATTTTGCCTTCATCTTTGAAGGACATTTTCACTGGATATAAAATTCTGGGTTGAAAGCATTCTTCCCATGCTTTAGAGATGTTGTTCCACCATCTTCTGGTTTGCATAGTTTTTGATGAGAAACCAGTGATTAGTCTTAACTTAAGATTTTCTCTGCATCACTAGTTTTGAGAAATTTGATTCCGCAGTGCCTTGATGTGGTTTTCTTTGTGTTTATGCTGCTTGGCATTCACTGGGATTCTTGGATATGTTTGTTTGTAGTTTTCAACAAATGTGGAACATTCTGGAAGCTGAGTAAGAGAATTATAAAATTGTAAACTGAGCTTCATTGTTATAGAATGCTGAAGGTAAATGAAGAGTACTTAACCACTATTCACAGCTCTTTAACAGCTTTTTGTTTTTGACCATGGATTCAGAGGCTAGATACTGAAAGAAAGTTTGGGACATTGTTCTATCTGCTGTCTTGCCCAGATTCTAAGCACTGTAACTGCATAACTTCCCTCTATTTGGTATCACCTTAAAATATCTGTAAAAAGGAGAAGGGAAAAAAAAGTTGTGTGAATCAATACGTTCTGCCTAATGTTTTTCAATATTTTCTCCTGTTTTCACTAAGCCTACCCCTTTAAAAAAGATCTCCACATGTGGTTTAGAGTTGGAGTGTTAATTAGGTCACAGATGAGGTCCACTTTTAGAGACAGGATTGTAAATAATTTATCCTGCATGTGTTCTGGATTTGACCTTGTCCACATGATGTCTGGCTAGGCAGATGAAAAACTCCAGGCAGAGTACAATAGGGATTACAATACTGATTACCCATCCTCTGTGATCATTCCTGATTCTATGATCATTAGAGCAATGTTCCCTCATTGGTTGGCAAATGTTAACAGAATCATTGCACATTTATTATTCATGAGGAAGGTGAAGCTTCATGACAAAGGTCAATGAATAAGAGAATGATCCCTGTGTAAAGGCAGGAAGAAAACTGATTTAAGGATAAATCCTTCTCTCTCTGCATTGGACCATTCACAATTATTCTTCCTAATCCAAAAATTGTTACAGTCTTTATTTTACCAAGTAGACAGAAAGGAATAAACATTTAGAGGGTAAGTGCTGTATTCTAAGTACTTTACAAAGGGCTTTACAGCAGCATTTAATATTCACAACCTTAGGAGGAGGAAATTATTCTTATTAACTGCATTTGAAAGGTAAGCACACTGAGATGCAAGAACCTTGTCCAAAATCACACAGCTGGAGCCTACCCCGCTCTTTGGTGGGGCTAATGGCAGACTCTGGGAAGGCTCACGCCAAGCAGCACTTCCCAGAACTTCTGCTGCCAGTGACCCTGTCCCCACGGTGAGCCACAGCCACCCCCTGCCTACACAGGAGACCCCCCAACACTAGCAGCCGTGTGGCTGACAGGGTCTTGGTGCTCCGGCCGGGTGCCAGGCCTGTGCCTCTGAGGTGGGAGAGCTGAGCTCAGGACATTGGCCCACCAGAGACCTCCCAGCTTCACGTAATATCAAGCAGCGAGAGCTCTCCCAGAGATCTCTGTCTCAATGCTAAGACCCAGATCCACTCAACGGCCATCAAGCTACAGTGCTGGATACCCCATGCCAAACAATGAGCAAGACAGGAACACAAGCCCACCCATTAGCAGAGAGGCTGCCTAACATCATAATAAGGCCACAGACACACCAAAACACACCACCAGACGTGGACCTGCCCACCAGAAAGTCAAGATCCAGCCTCATCCACCAGAACACAGGCACTAGTCCCCTCCACCAGGAAGCCTACACAACCCACTGAACCAAATTTAGCCACTGGGGACAGACACCAAAAACAACGGGAACTACGTGCCTGCAGCCTGCAAAAAGGAGACCACAAACACAGTAAATTAAGCAAAATGAGAACACAGAAAAACACACAGCAGATGAAGGAGCAAGATAAAAACCCACCAGACCTAACAAATGAAGAGGAAATAGACAGTCTACCTGAAAAAGAATTCAGAATACTGATAGTAAAGATGATCCAAAATCTTGGAAGTTGAAAGGAGGAAGTATAAGAAACGTTTAACAAGGACCTAGAAGAACTAAAGAGCAAACAAGCAATGATGAACAACACAATAAATGAAATTAAAAATTCTCTAGAAGGAATCAATAGCAGAATAACTGAGGCAGAAGAACGGATAAGTGACCTGGAAGATAAAATAGTGGAAATAACTAATGCAGAGCAGTATAAAGAAAAAAGAATGAAAAGAATTGAGGACAGTCTCAGAGACCTCTGGGACAACATTAAACGCACCAACATTCGAATTATAGGGGTCCCAGAAGAAGAAGAGAAAAAGAAAGAGATTGAGAAAACATTTGAAGAGATTATAGTTGAAAACTACCCAATATGGGAAAGGAAATAGTTAAGCAAGTCCAGGAAGCAGAGAGAGTCCCATACAGGATAAATCCAAGGAGAAACATGCCAAGACACATATTAATCAAATATCAAAAATTAAATACAAAGAAAAAATCTTAAAAGCAGCAAGGGAAAAGCAACAATTAAGATACAAGGGAATCCCCATAAGGTAAACAGCTGATCTTTCAGCAGAAACTCTGCAAGCCACAATGGAGTGGCAGGACATATTTAAAGTGATAAAAGGGAAAAACCTACAACCAAGATTACTCTACCCAGCAAGGATCTCATTCAGATTCGATGGAGAAATTAAAACCTTCACAGACAAGCAAAAGCTAAGAGAATTCAGCATCACCAAAGCAGCTTTACAACAAATGCTAAAGGAACTTCTCTAGGCAGGAAATACAAGAGAAGGAAAAGACCTACAATAACAAACCCAAAACAATTAAGAAAATGGGAATAGGAACATACATATCGATAATTACCTTGAATGTAAATGGATTAAATGCCCCATCCAAAAGACACAGACTGGCTGAATGGATACAAAAACAAGACCTGTATATATGCTGTCTACAAGAGACCCAGGGACACATACAGACTGAAAGTGAGGGGATAGAAAAAGATATTCCATGCAAATGGAAATCAAAAGAAAGCTGGAGTAGCAATTCTCATATCAGACAAAATAGACCTTAAAATAAAGACTATGGAGACCTTCAAGATGGTGGAAGAGTAAGATGTGGCAATCACTTGCAAACAAGAGGCCTGATTAACACCTCACTTATTGCTGACCCGGCTCTTTTAATTGCGGCCTAAAGTCATATAATACTTTACATTTATAAATAGAAGTCTTACACTTTTGATGGTCTACCCCAAAGATGAAACAGCTTTCCACGTCCTAAATTATAATTTCTCAAAAAGAAATGTAAGGTAAGGTAAGGTAAAGTAAGGTAAGGTAAGGAGAAAAAAAGAAAAGAAAAGAAAAGAATATCTTGGCCCATAATTCAACTATACTTCAATAAAAAATAAATTTTTAAAAAAAGGAAATCTTGGCCCAAAACAAGGTGTTTTCTTGGAGGTGGTTGTATTTATTTATTGATCATTCTCACAGGTTATCACCCATCTGTGATATGTAGCAAGAAAACCACTCTCTGAGAAAGACTCAACTTCTATTACAACTGTGGAACCCAGATGTTATCAAACTTTAGATAATTCAAGCTAGAGCAAGCACATCTAGAGAGTCATCTCAAATTACACTTTCATGTAGTGAGGACCTGAAGTTTTAGAGTGTTTCTCTAGCTCCAGATCAACAAAATTACATCTCTCCTCACCTAGTAATTTCACTTCTAGGAATCTACCTAAGGAAACAATCAGAAACCTGGGCTAAAATTTGGGTAAAAAGATGTTTGTCAAAGTATTAGGGACTTCCCTGGTGGTGCAGTGGTTAAGAATCCACCTGCCAACGCAGGGGACACGGGTTCAATCCCTGGACCGGGAAGATCCCACATGCTGTGGAGCAACTAAGTCCATGCGCCACAACTACTGAGCCCACGAGCCATAACTACCAAAGCCCGCGTGCCTAGAGCCTGTGCTCCACAATAACAGAAGCTACCGCAATGAGAAGCCCATGCACCACAACAAAGAGTAGCCCCCGCTTGCCACAAGTAGAGAAAGCCCGCACGCAGCAACGAAGACCCAACACAGCCATAAATAAATAAATAAATAAATTTATTAACAAAACAAAGTATTATTTATCATTGGGAAAAAGCCCTGCATCTTCAACAACAGAACAGTAAAATAAATTTCACAATGGAACTCTAAGGAGCCATTATATATATTTTTTAATTTAAATATACCCAGTGACACGGGGAAATACTCCATACTATTAATAGTAATAATGCTAACAATTATGCCAGGTGCTATGCTGGGTATTTTTTTTTTTTTTTTTGCCACACTGTGAGGCTTGTGGGATCTTAGTTCCCCAACCAGGGATTGAACCCAGGCCCTCAGCAGTGAGAGCGCAGAGTCCTAACCACTGGACCACTAGGGAATTCCCACTGGGTACTTTATACGTATTACTTCATTTAATACTCACAACAATTAACCATATGAAGGGTACTATTATTATTTACTAATTACAGATGAAGAAATGGTGACTTAACAAGGTTAAGTATTGACACAATCACACAGATGGGGAGTATCTAAGTCCAAAGCTGTAGTAGATAAGAAACCACTACGCTATGCTACAGGATAGACGTTATAGATACATGATACCAATTTTTTGTTATTACATACGCACAACGCACTCAGGTGATTTTTAAATTTTTTTTTTTTTTCGGTACGCGGGCCTCTCACTGTCGTGGCCTCTCCCGTCGCGGAGCACAGGCTCCGGACGCGCAGGCTCAGCGGCCATGGCTCATGGGCCCAGCCGCTCCGCGGCATGTGGGATCTTCCCGGACCGGGGCACGAACCCGTGTCCCCTGCATCGGCAGGTGGACTCCCAACCACCGCGCCACCAGGGAAGCCCCTAAAGTATTTTTAAATGAGTATTGCAAAGCACAGACCAGTCGGAATGGACACTACAACCAATCAGAATGGAAGCCAGGTGTAAACAACCTAAGTGGCCGTCTGATTTCGGTTAGCCTTTGTTGTGTAACAAAGAACCCTAAATTTTAGTGGCTTAAAACAACAATTCTATTCACTCATGATGCTGTGGGTTGATAACATGGACTGGGATCAGTGAGGGGGTTCTTCTGCTGGTCTTGCCTAAGGTCACTTGTGTGGCTGCAATCATTTGACAGCTCAATTGGGACTGAATGGTCCAAGGTGGCATCGCTTACGCATCTGGCCTCACTTACGCATCTCCTCATGAGGTCTTTCATCCTCAAGGAAGCTAGCTCAAGCTTCTTCATATGGCAGCAGCAATGTTCCAAGAGGGTGTGAACAGAAGCTTTAAGATCTCTTGAGGTCTTGCTTAGGAGTTGTACACCACCACTTTTACTGTATTCTATTGGTCAAGGCAAGTCACAAGGCCAGTCCAAATTCAAGGAGTGGGGAAATAGATTCTACCTCTTATTTATTTGTTTGTTTGTTTATTCATTTATTCATTTATTTATTTATTTATTCATTTATCTATTTGTTTTTTGGCTGCGTTGGGTCTTCCTTGCTGCGTGCGGGCTTACTCTAGTTGCGGCAAGTGGGGCCTACTCTTCATTGCAATGCGCGGGCTTCTCATTGTGGTGGCTTCTCTTGTTGCCGAGCATGGGCTCCAGGTGCCTGGGCTTCAGTAGTTGTGGCACACGGGCTCAGTAGTTGTGGCTCAAGGGCTCTAGAGCGCAGGCTCAGTAGTTGTGGCGCACAGGCTTAGTTGCTCCATGGCATGTGGGATCTTCCCGGACCAGGGCTCGAACCCGTGTCCCCTGCACTGGCAGGCAGATTCTTAACCACTGCACCACCAGCGAATTCCTAGATTCTACCTCTTGATGGGAGGAGCTGCAATGAATTTGTGGTTATTTTAATCCACTACACTGTATATACCAACTGAGTATCAGCCCTTTATGTATATGTACATAGAAAAAAAGGCTGGAAGGAAATCAACCTACTAATAGGGATTATTTTTATTAACTTTTTGTATTTCTTCTTTTATATAAATTTATCTATTTATTTATTTTTGGCTGTGTTGGGTCTTCGTTGCTGTACATGGGCTTTCTGTAGTTGCAGTGAGTGGGGGCCGCTCTTCATTGTGGTGCGCGGGCTTCTCACTGTCGTGGCTTCTCTTGCTGCGGAGCACGGGCTCCAGGCATGCAGGCTTCAGTAGTTGTGGCGCGTGGGCTCAGTAGTTGTGGCTCGCGAGCTCTAGAGCTCAGGCTCAGTAGTTGTGGCACACGGGCTTAGTTGCTCCGCGGCATGTGGGATCTTCCCGGGCCAGGGCTCGAACCCGTGTCCCCTGCATTGGCAGGCAGATTCTTAACCACTGCACCACCAGGGAAGCCCCCTTTTTGTATTTCTGCACTTATATTTTCCTAATCAATATGCATTATTTTTATAAACAGAAAAAAAAAACTATGACACCTTCCATAATAGTTTAAGAGGGCAAGCTGGACAGTTTCACTTTGGCAGGGAAATCAACAGAATTCCTTCTTTCCTAGCTCTACCACTTCCTGGCTGTTGCAATTTTGTAGCCCTCTGAGCCTCTGGTTTTCTCTGTTGCAAACATTGAGCTAACATTAGCTATTTCACAAGACAGTTGATATTAAACAAGTCAATGAATGTAAAACACCCACGATGTCCCTTGTCTGTTTCCTTACCTCCTACTCTCCCCCTACTCAGACCTCTTCAGTTATAGGAATTATATTTCTCACAAAGATTAAATTCTGTTGTAGTAAACTACAAACATATCTGCAAAGTAAACTGTATGCCCTGAGGGCTGGTTTCAAAACTTAGTCCTCCTTTATAACTCCCAAGTACCTAGCATAAGAGTCAATAAATAGTTATTGATTTGTTGACTCATTAGCCAAATAAAAGTTTTCCAAATGCTAGCGAGTTAACCCCTTTTTATGCAGTTTTAAATTCAAATTCCAGTATCAACAGGGGGTAATGTTGGTCCTCCATGGCATCTATCTATTCCTGACAATATAAAACCTAACTTGATTCATAAAGAAAATTCACATTTCTTAGGGTTCTAAGCTTTTACATGTGCAAAAAACGCAATCACAATGAGCTTTTTTTAGCTGCCTGTTTTTCAGAATGGGCTCTCCTTGTCATAATGACAAAGTGAAGCATAAGAGCATGAAACTTAAACTGGAAAAACAGAATAAATAGAAAAAAATTATAGTGTGTTTTAATGAAACAATCATTATTCTAAAAACCTAAGCAGCCCACATTGAAAACGACCTTGTTTTTGCTTCAAGAAGGCAGCTATTATTAGTGCTTAGTCACCTAGTTCTTACTTACTGTTAGCAGTAACTCGGTAACAAGCTCTCCTGAGTCCTCCCACAAAACAGAACAAAGCAGAGGCAGGAAGGGCCTATGTCTGGTCATCCGTGTGCAATGGTGTCAGGAAAGACACTACCTGAAGTGGCTTTAGGCAGACAAGAATCAATGCTATTTTTAAAGATCTTTGAGAAACACATTTCATAAATTCTCCCAATGACTCACTGCGTATGATATCCCCAGAGGGTGGGAAGGGTAACAGAGGAGCTACTTTTGCTTTCTTTTCTACATACAGGATATTGCGAGCAAAGCAGAGAATTACTTGTTGAATGTTGGGGGAGTCATTTGGTGATAATCCACCCTATAGACTGAAAACACGGCAGGCTCCTTTTATGCTTTCTCTTTGACTCATTCCAGAACCCAGGCGGGGCAGCCAAAGCAGGGCCCTCAGAGGACCTGTCTGGGAAGGTGGTTTGTAAAAAGCCAAAAACAAAAAAACAAACAGAAAAACCCTCTATCTGCAAGAGGCTTGAGTACTTGTCCCATTGGGTATAATCCAGGAAGAGCTATACTCTAATCCAACTGTTCTCAAATATTTTACTCTCAGGACATTTAAAAATAATTGAAAAATCCAAAAAGCTTGCCTTCAAAAATTCTAGAAAACATGAGAACACACAAGCACACATTCCTTTAGTCACCAGAGCAATGATGTCATCACACATCTGTAAACTTGTAATTGGTTCGAAATAAAAAGTTTTAAAGGGGAGAGGAGAGAAGCACAGGGAATGAGCAAGGAGGGAATATAACAATTTTCAACAGCAATGCAAGCCAGAAGATAGATATCATCAATATGCTGAACGAAAAAGAACTTCCAACCTCAAACTCGCTAACAGTGAAATAAATCCTTCAAGAACTTTAAGATGAATTTAAAGACATATTTAGACAAGCAAAACAAAAATTTTACAAGAGCATACCTTCACTAAATGGAAGTATGAAGGAGTGTACCTCAGGCAGAAGGAAAGTGTTTCCACAAGGAAGGTCAGAAATTTAAGAAAAAATAAGGGGAAAAGTAAGAAAGAAAATATTCTGTTAACTCTAAAAATTACCAGCAGAGGGGGGAAAAAAATCATTGAGGAATCGAAGTAGCTTACCTTAGGAAATTCTAGAAAACACAATACAAGCACACATTCCTTTAGTCATGAGAGCGATGATGTCATCACACATCAGTTCTCTGGAAAATTTCAGCGAGAGTTAAGAAAGAGAAACGAAATCCTACCATTACTATGAAACTAGCTTTGAAAGGATCTTCGGACCCACAGGGCCCCTCAGACCACCCTATGAGAGCCACTGCTCTAATCCCCTTATCCCCCCATCGCCCAAAGCCAGGTCTCTCCAAGGAAGAAACAGCAAAGTCACTGGGCCAGGGCCAAAAGGGGAACCCCTCTCTTCCTTTTTGCGAAGGTTACTAGGGGACGCTTAGGCTCCGAGGTCGGGCTTTCGGGAAGGCTCCGCCAGGCGCCGCTAGAGGGCGCCGCTAGAGAGCCGCACCTGGCGCCTCACCGCCCGCGCCCCCGCCCGCGCGGGCCGGGTTCACACGGGCGGCCGGAAGAGAGGGAGGTGCCCGGAAGAGGGGGGGCGGTCGCGGCCTCATTGGACGAGGCGCCGCGGCCTCATTGGACGAGGCGCCTCATTGGACAAGGTGCCTCCGCCTCACGGCCCGGGGCGGGGCTTCTTCGCGCTAAAAAGCGGAGCCGGGCGGCCGAAGCGAGTGGTTGCTCCCTCAGTTAGCTGGTGTTCGTGTTTCGTTCGCCGAGGTTTCGTCGGGTCATGGTGCCATCCTGACTGGGAAGAGGACGCTCCCGGGAGACGAATGAGGAACCACCTCCTCTTGCTGTTCAAGTACAGGGGCTTGGTCCGCAAAGGGAAGAAAAGCAAAAGAAGAAAATGGCTAAATTCGTGATCCGCCCGGCCACCGCCGCCGACTGCAGTGACATTCTGCGGCTGATCAAGGTAGCGGGAGGCATGGGCTCTTCCTGTGACGGGCGGTGGGGTCCTTGTCCCCAGTAGGTCCCCCTCTCTCCGCCTGCCTCCCCCAGCCCCGGCCCGGCCGCGCCGCTCCGGGCGAGACTCAGGGTATGAATCCCCGCCCAGCCCACCCCATTCCCCCGAGCTGGCCGGGCCGGGGTCTCACTTAATTTTCTGCTTCTCTTCTTTTGTCTTGTGTACATCAACCCAGGAATTGGCTAAATACGAATACATGGAAGAGCAAGTAATATTAACTGAAAAAGGTAACGCATCAGTGGCGGGGCGGGGGACGAGCGTCCGGTGCCTGCCACCTTCATCGAGGCCAACACTGTCCCTGCTGCCTCTTCTTGCAGATCTGCTAGAGGATGGTTTTGGAGAGCACCCCTTCTACCACTGCCTGGTCGCAGAAGTGCCCAAGGAGCACATGACTCCAGAAGGTAATCGCCCTCTCCTTCCAGAAGCCGGAGAGACCGAGTGTTGTGGAAGACGTAGTGGCTGCTCTGTAGAAGCACTGACAACACAGGCTGAAGTTACTTACTGAGAAGTTGGCCAGAAATACTAGCCAGCCAGTGTTCAAACTACTGAGAAAAAAAAATAGATTGCTGCACTTAATAATAGGGCGGGTTAGAAGAGCTGTTTAAGTATCAGTGCTGTGGAGACCCGGAAAAGTTAGGTATAAAGTCGTTTGTTGTAATTCAGTTTCATAAATGGTTCTTGTTTGACCCTAACGTAACCGTTTTTGTATTTGTGTTAAATTACATTTTTTTCTTTAATTTGTCCCAATCTTCAGGTTACAGTCTCTAGCTTCGCCATGTACATGGCCCTTCCGTGTACATGGATGGGCGGGGAGGTAACTAAAAGATCCTTTACACAATAAAGTAGATGATCATGATAAATGAGGTAAGGCCCTATTATCACACACTTAAAACACGGTAGATCAGAAGCTCCATTGTACTCACTTCCTGTTTGCAAAGGACTATAAAATGGCTAGAAAGTTTAATTTGAAACCTTTGCCTCCGATTGGAATTACAGACACCCATAAAGAAGGAGTCAGATGCTTTTTTCCTTTTTTTCTTTGTTTTTTCTTTGTCGTTGTTTTTTCCTTTCTGGTTCTTGTTGAATGGGCAGAAGACGGAGCTAAAGAGGGAAGTTGTTGGGCAGGGGCGGTGGGGGGTGCTTAAGGGTTTTTCTGAGGTCATTTCCTCATACTAGAAAAAATGAGCAGAAAACATAAGGGATGAGGTACTTTCCAGAGGTATGTGGATGTTACATCACACCTGGGTACCTCTCCTTCTTCCAGCTTAAACATTGGGGAGAGCAAATGGAAAATGTTGAATTGGAAGGCAAGTTCTGAAATTAAACGTTGCTCTTTTGGCCTGATGTCCTGACCTTAAGGAAGCAGAGTTTCTAAACTACAAATACTTAACTATTCTGAACTGCCGTGTAAACCTGACTTATTCCCAAGTCAAGATACCAATATATCAATAGGATGTGAATAATGTGTGTGTTTAGTTTTAAGACCATAGCACTTTCGTTCTGGCAAGTAATGAAAGCATTCTCACTTCCTGAGTGTGAGATCCAGCAGATTGCAGAGTGGCCAGTCCACAGTTTTAGCCTGGTTTCAGCTAGCTCTAATGTGTGCTTTTTGCAAATACATGTTCTAAGAACAGTGAGATCATCCAACAGTGGCCTGGATTGCACTAGCATAAAAGTCAAGAGACAGTCTGGCCCACTGGCTACTTATTTCTGTAATACATGCATGTATGTTTTTTAAAAACTTATGATAGACTTCTGATTTTGCAGCTACAACTTTGACGGATTGTTTTTCATCCATAACTCATGTGATACTCTTATTACAGGACACAGCATTGTTGGTTTTGCCATGTACTATTTTACCTATGACCCATGGATTGGCAAACTGTTGTATCTTGAGGACTTCTTCGTGATGAGTGATTATAGAGGTATGATTGAGTTCAGGGGGGCTGCTCTAAAGAGAAATCAGGGCTTGAAGTCCTTAAAATGACCTTTTAAATGGTACTTCTCTTTCTTTTTTAGGCTTTGGCATAGGATCAGAAATTCTGAAGAATCTAAGCCAGGTATGTCTTGATGTTTGGTTTCCAAATTTGTAAGGGTTACTGGATTATTTTAACACCTGAATCAGAATTGGGTCTTGGAAAGCAGGTGAAATGTCACTGAGTTTGTGTTTTCCTCTCCTGCATAACAGGTTGCGATGAAGTGTCGCTGCAGCAGCATGCACTTCTTGGTAGCAGAGTGGAATGAACCATCTATCAACTTCTACAAAAGAAGAGGTGCTTCTGATCTGTCCAGCGAAGAGGGATGGAGACTCTTCAAGATCGACAAGGAGTACTTGCTAAAAATGGCAGCAGAGGAGTGAGGAGTGCTGGTGTAGACAATGACAGCTTCCATTCTATTTTAGAATAAATTCTCAACTTACCTTGCTTTCTATCTTATTTGTAGTGAAATGATAGAATGAGCACCCATTCCAAAGCTTTATTACCAGTGGCGTTGTTGCATGTTTGAAGTAAGGTCTGTTTAAGATGGCAATCCTTGTATGCACGTTGGAGTCAGACTTCTATTGAACATCTTTAATGAACAGCAAGGTGGTATGATAATGTCTATGAAAAAAACTCCACTCTTGTGAGTCATTTCAATGTGTACAATGTACACACTGGTACTTAGAGTTTCTGTTTTGATTCTTTTTTAATAAACTACCCTTTGATTTAATTGTTTGGTGTAAGCATTTTTACTGATCCTTTATTTCTTAGACATTTTTCTTGCTGTTGAGTGCAAAGTAAAAATGCCCAAGAAACATGATAACTTGACAGTTTTTTAAAAAGTTTTTTTCTTGTTTTTTGTTTTTGCGGTACACGGGCCTCTCACTGCTGCGGCCTCTCCCGTTGCAGAGCACTCCGGACGCGCAGGCTCAGCAGCCATGGCTCACGGGCCCAGCCGCTCTGCGGCATGTGGGTCTTCCCGGACCGGGGCACGAACCCGTGTCCCCTGCATCGGCAGGCGGACTCTCAACCACTGCGCCACCAGGGAAGCCCCTAAAAAGAGTTTTTAAACCCAGTTTAAAGTGTCTTATGGTCAGAAGCTGTGTTGTGCTGGTATCCCAATGTCTAGAAAGAAGCCAGTTGAATCCCAAGGTTTTATATGTAGCAACATATAAAAATATGACTTTATATTGATGACACTACACTTAATCCAACAGAAGTTTCAAGAGCTTAGAAACTAAGGCCCACAATGAAAAAGCCTATTTGTTACACCAGTAAAAGAGGTGGAAATGGGTTCTGAAATACTGGAAATTGGGGGAAAAAACATCTTGCCCACAACAACCCCATCCCACACACAAATACTATTCTGAAGGGAAAGTAGATCACTTTGCTAGTTAGGCAGGAACAAAAATTCCACATTTTTAAAGGAATTTTGTAAACTAAAAGGCTGGAGTTGGACACAGGTACCAGTCAGGGTAAATTAGCATCCTATTTGGAGGGCAAGTTTCTGATAACTGTGTTAACACATGGGTTTCTAAGCGGAGAAACAATAGGGCTTAAAACTGCTGGGGGTTGGGGGAGAAGTAAATAGAAGCTTTCTCCAGGACTGAAAATGAAACTCACAGAGGGCTGAGGAGGAGACAGTTTTAGATAGGTGAACTCCTTTTAATACTCGTGACGCTGACCTAAATTCCTAAACCCACTAATTCCCACAGTAATGAAAGTGGTAGTTAATAACCACTGTACTGATTTCCAAGATTAATGTTTTCCAAAAGAAATCGTCAGATAACTGAGAAGCAGTACTCTGTGTCTTCTTACTGTGTTCTCCAGGAAAGAAACACTGGACTCCTCACTCAAAGGGCGATTTGTCCTGCATCCCTTGGTTTCAGTGTCTTTCGTGGCTTCCTAAATTAGAAGGCAGCCATATAAACAAGCAGGATCCTGTACTGTGTTTAACAGGAGCGCTTTGGGATTTATTGGTAGCTCAGAGAGCATGTCATGAAAATAGACTTAGAGTCCGTTCTCAACCAGGGTCCTGCTAGACTGGCGAGTAACTATAGGAGAGAAACGCTGGCAAGCATAAAAAGGGTTAACTAAACACAAGGAGCTTTGTGGGGAAAGAAGACATTTTGAAAATTGTGTTTTGGAAAGTGGGCCTCCTTGAGGAAAACAACTACATGCTGACTGTGGTTAAATATGTGAATAAATTAGATTAACCAAGTGAGTTACAATGTAACTCTTTGTTTTCTCATACTTAGAGCTTAGCCCTAAAGGCCCAGTGTTGTCACCATGAAAGCTTTTAGGAAGTTTTTGTATCCACTTTAAAAAAGTCCCTTGAGTTTAAAATTTAGAAGCTGAAACACCACAGCATCAGCCTACTGAATGTACAACGCTGTTACAAA